TGTACTGCTGACACAACTTTTTCCAGATTTCACCCACTGTCATCACATGAAGAACTCCAGTGAGGGGTTCATCTTTCAGTGTGAGTATGATCTGGGCTTGTGCCTCTTTGTCCTTTATCAACCAGTCCATATGGCCATTAGGGTTGACTTTAGGATCAGGCACTGTAGTTGTGTTTCCACCAGCAACTTTCCATAGGTCTCATATGTTGAGCACCATGCAGATCCTTACTTTCCATGTCTGGAAATTTGAGCCATCATCTTCAAGTGATGGTATGTCATAGAGATGACATGAGGCCTGCTTAGCTCTGTATGCCAAGCTAGCTCTGAATGGCAAGTCTTACTTTACTCATAAGTCAAACTATGGACTTAATGTCCAGGTAAGAGACACTTTCTTATGTGAGATAGGCCTAACCATATCATAGATTGGAAACCTCCCTTCAAACCTTCATATTGTGGATTATTCACATGGCATGACAGGATCAGCTCATGATACTTGGGCATTTGAGCATACAGGAGCAGCCAAATACCCAGATTGGTTTTTTTATGGAGAGGAGTTTGCATGGCTGACTCAGCCTATGGTATCTCTCCACAGACCATTCCTGTCCACAAAAAGCCAGCAGCATTACTTCCAGAGAATGCTGCATTTGACTATGCTGTTGCCAATATTTGGGTTCACTCTGAACATTGTATGGGTGCATTGAAAGGTTGATTTCAATGCCTTCATGGTCTTCAGGTGAATATCAACTCTAATTCACAACACATTGCTGCCTGCCAATGGATCTCTGTTTGCATTGTCTTGCACAATCTGATTAAAGTGGAGGGTGGAAGACATGGTGCATATTTTGCCTCACAACATGGAAGGGAAGAGGAGGAGGAGGACAGAGGACCACATGAGGAGTTTCCAGAGAGGGTTAATCCTGAGGGTGAGGCCAAACACAAAGAGCTAGTGGAGGAATTATTTGCCTTTCAGAATATGTAAACCACATTAACCCAAAGAGATCAATTAAGTATGCAAGCAAAGGAATGACTACTGTAGGTGACAAAGAGTGGCAAAGGTCAGAAATCCAAGTTCCAGCCAGGAGTGACTACTGTAAGTGATAAAGAGTGACAAAGGTCAAAAATCCAAGTTCCAGTCAGGAGAGTACTGTTGAGCTTGCTTTCCAGGATGTTCACCACCCTCCAACTTCCTCAACTCCTCTTGATACTCCTCCCAATCCCACACATCTGCTCTGAACTCCTCCAAAAGCAGCTGGTGCTTTTTGATGATCAGCTCCTCCTGAATATGAGCATTGATGGCATCAGTATTTGACCTGGAATGTACATGAGAAATATGACCAAAGCAAAGGGTAAAGCTTACTTGTGAATGTCCATCAGTGTATCCTCAATGGTACACTTCTTTGTCACCTTCTGAATGTGTTCCTTGGCCTTGAGAACACTCTCCTGTGATATCAATGATGGCCATGGCATGGCATGCAGAGGGGTAACAGGGGTAGGCTGCGACTGAGAAGAGGGGGGTGCAAGGTTCTCCTTCTGGACAGCAGATCATTGGGCCACATCCAGTGCATCCTGCAAAGTCTGGATCTCCTGGCACTGAGAGTCAGTCAACCCAAGATCATCATCATGCTCAGCTGTCTCATCAGTAGCTGCAAGAGGTTGCATGATCAGTGCCCTCTTTCTGGAGGGCCCAACACCCATAGTGACTGCAATGGGGTTTTTGTTAGGTTTCATAGCCCAGATGCAATGGAGATCAGGGAAGAAAGGGAACTGAGATAATATCATCTAGAATGATAATGATTTAGCTTGATGAGGGCACATGTGAAAGTACTTACCCCAGATGTTTCTTGCTTCTGTAGGAGTGCCCTTGTTTGGCCCAGTAGCCTCAATGAAGTATGTACAGGTCTCTACATCCATACCATCCTCAGCATCAGTGCCAATGCCCTCCCCAGCAATAGCATGCTTCTTCACATGCTGCTTGTACAGTTTCATGAGCCTACAAGAGAGATTAGTCTCATCTAGTAACCTAAACTTGACATACCCTTCATATTTGTGTTTAATCTGATCCCTGGTGGTTGCAGCATCCATGCTGTACAGCTCAAGCAGCAGGACAGAGCCAATGTGCCAAAAAATGCTGGCTTTCATCTTGCCTGAAGTGTTCTACATACAATTCCATGTTAGCAATGCAGTAGGTATGGCTAGTGGGTCACTTACCTCATGCTTGGACTTACCACACAAAACCTTTAGATTTTGAGGCTGTGTGATCTCTGATATTAGTCACCAAACAAGTGTGTGGTCATTGGCATCCCATGTGATGGGTGGCAAGGTCACTTTGGGCTTCTTGGCCATTGAGGGAGGAGCAGGCAAGTGTCTGAGGGCACACAGTGATTACCCTAACCCATCAAATTTCCTAACCAGTATTAAAAATTATTTACTTGTGCTAAGTAGGGTCATGTGACAAACAGTGAAAGTGAAAGTGAACACAAGCACAAAAAGTGGCAACTCTGAGCTCCCCTATTAAACAAACAAAAATAAAACAGTTGATTGTGCAACTTTTGCAGTAATGCACAGAAAATTTGCAGGTGGCTGTGCCCACAGCTACTGACTAAGCAGGGCATGTGCATGGGGGAGCAGGCAAGTCAGGGCTACACACACTCCTTGCCTGTTCCTCAGGACTCATTTCAATGCTACTGTAAATAACCCATGTAATAATGGGTATTTTGCCAAGAAACAGGCCCAAATTCACTAGACCAGTGATGACTTGTGGTGCAGAGTGCAGTCACATGAATTTGCAGGTGGCAATGCCATGGGAATTTGCTGCCATCAGGTGGGAGGGGTGGGGGAGGGGGTCAAGTGTTCAAGCAGGCCCTGTGGAGCATCATGGCCTCATGGATTGGGCAGGATGACTGGGGAGGGTGCTGATGAACTGTGCTCACATCCTGCCTATGTTTATCTATTTTATCTGCCCTCCTAGCTAGTGCAAAGTGGTGCAAAGTGGCTGTGTTAAAAATTATGCAGGGGTAGTATAAAAAGTTGCACAGGAGCAGTACTGCAAAAGTTGCACAATCAGGTGTTTTATTTTTGTTTGTTTAATGTTACAGATGCAATGTCATAGCATCATAGTTCAAAGGCATCAGTTAATGGATTATGGGGCAGGAGAGGGTGGCATATGAGCAGTCATTTATAATGTGGTGGATGGGTGGGGTGTGTAATGACAAAGAGCCACAAACATGCCCTCTCTGGTGGAACACATACACCAGCAAAGGACAGGAAACCATACAATGATGATTGTGTAGTGCATCAACACACATCACTCAAAGCAAGCTACTATGCAGAACCAAATTGTGATGACCAGCAATAGCTCTAAGTTGCTTCAATGTCAAATACAGATATTGTTCAACAAGCTTGCAAACAGAGTCTGCACAACATACCAGCATGGAGCCTTCAAGGTCTGCTGACCCAGCACAAAAATCATCATACACAGTAACACACTCAAATGCATATTCTCACCACAGGAACTCATAAGAGAGCACAGAACCATCACTGACTCCAGTAACATCAATATACAAGTGGCACATGCCACTGTCCATGAGATGTGCACAATCTCCCATGTGCCTCCATGTAGTCTGCTAGACACAATGTACATCAACAAAATCCCTATCATGAATCAAGTTAACCCCAGAGTTCCCACCCCTGACACATGACCAGAGGTCAGCCTGGCATGATCAACCCTGACAAAGAGTTTACAGACCTGGGCCTAACAGCATCCAGGAATTATGGTTGGGGTAACAAGAAGAGAAGAACAACTTGATCGAGAAACTCGATTTTTGTTTCTCTCAAGTAAAGCCACGAGTAGTTGCTAGTAAAGATCAATGTATAGTGGTCTTGAAGATTACCTTTTTTGTGTCCAGTCTGGCAGCTCATTTATACCAACACACTGATGTCTCGCTCAGCATGTCACCTTCCAGTATCAAATATCAATTTAGGTATTGGTACTAGACATAACTTGTATTTAGTCTACTCAGTCCTTCGACTATGGTTTACAAAAACTTGAACACCACTATGCATTCACGTATGCACGACGGATCCGAACAATTTCGGGACGATAACAATTATATTGGTTAGCCTAGGTTAGCCTCACGAGGGGTTTGTATGACAGCTGGAAGTCCGCATCAGTGAAGAAAAAAAGTTTACAGCGCCTAGGGTTGTCGAGCCTGAGGCAGAATATAGTAAGGCCAGACACAGAGGTTCTTCGCTAGGCTCAAGTTCGTTGTTTCTCAGTCTTCCCCCATGGGCCCACATGACCAGATTCTAGGTAGGCTATCCTGTTTAGCTTTTCGAGCTGATCAAGTTGACACAATCAGGTCCTCTTCTAATAGGGATTCTTTGTGCGTACCATGTTTCTATTTGTAATACCTACTGCAATGCTGACCGCCCACCACTGAAGTCAATACCTATTTGTATGGGATCGTCACATACCAATTCGCATTATATTACCGAGCGGGTGAGTACAATTCCTGTTACAGGCGTTCCCATCACCCATATCTTACCCATAGATTTCAACGATCGACTTGCCGTGAAGTCTTTGTCATTCCCCGCTGATATGCTGCTCTTGCTCACGTCCTATTCGCAGATGTGTGGTGGCATTCTTGCTCGTCCTTGACATAGTTCATAGTATAGCGTAAGTCTCATGTGGTAGGGGCTGCGTCAGTAAGCATCCTCACAGTGTTCTTCAGGTTAATCTATATGGTTTGGGTGTACATGTGCGTCTGGGCCCTCTCATGCTTCAAGGGGTATCAAATCTCCTGTTAGGGTTGCGAACTACACAAATCCAACCACATTGCAGTGTGAGGAGTTGTCACCCGCTCTTCCATTACATTGACTAACTGCTGCTGCTGCACTTGTAACACAAACATTTCTCGGTGACCGGTATGTGTCCACAACAGCGTTGCCAAGCTGCTTACAGTCGTTGGCACAGGATATACCGCCTTACCCACAACAAAGTAATGTACGGTATTGTCATCACGATGGCTCTCCCCACATTTGGTCTTGGAATAGCTTGTGGTATCGAAGCATGGTTCATCCATGTGTAGGTTGTTCTTGTTCCGATTGCCGTGCAGAATGATATTGACACGGTTATTTTTCCTCAGGCTTGCTGATATGCCACGTAATCAATGGCCTTGCGACAGCCTGGATTGTGATGCAAGTGATCGTGGACACATTCTTAACCGGTCAGCATCTGTGTCCCGTCCCATGACTTTGCCACCAATTTTTGTCACACCTCCTAGTTACATTATCTATTATTCTCGCTCGTGCGAAGTCGGGTTTGCCCACGACGGACAGCGTGCTCAGGCGTTTGATACGCGGGGCTATCCAAACCGGCTTGTTTGCAATTATATTCTCCTTGGGCGAGTTGATCACTTTCCTGCTGCTTCCAAATGCAAACTTCTATGGCATGTTCGGCGTTCCAGTTGGTCGAATCTACTCCAACGTGAGTTTCTTTTTCAGGCCTGTATCATCATCATACCGATAATGAACATCGACAGACTTTGCTTGACACACTTCCGGTGCGTGAGAAGCTTAAAAAGGAACTATCAAGTACTGCGTTCAACAGGGCATCGCAGGTACGTCGGCATCATATCAGAGCAGCGTCCACCACCATCTCATTGGTGACCGACCAATAGGTGATGGGTTGGGTGCCGATGACAAGAGAGATACCAGGGTCTGTGGCCACTAACCTTCACCTTGAAGTCTACCACAGCTTGCATGAAAGTTCAGATGTTGCAAGTACATATAATGGGGAACTGAAGCACACCAGCATAAATCAGCAATATTAATCATAGATTGTCGTTCGTTGCCTAGTAATCAAGTTGTTGTCTTCGCAGTCCCGCACTTACCTTCGGTGGCCCAGAACCGAAGCTCGATCGGCTCGTCTTTCTCCCTAGGCCCACAACACATAGTGAGCTCTCACCGACGAAATGAGCAATGCCTATCCATATGCTTTGGACCTGAATTGCTCTAGGCTTCATAACTCTCCAAGATCGTCCCTGAGGCATCATCGGCCTGCCAAACGCAGCATCAGTCGTCATCCACCCGCAAATCACACGGCCGGATGTCTTTCACGACTCAGAATTGGGAGGAGAATCGGAAGATGGCGAATGGGGAATGGTCGACGGGATGAGGCTGTGGAAGAATGACGCATTGATGCAGCATCTGTACGGGACGGCTTCGTTCTGGGGCGACGAAATCCTCGAGGACGAGTACTTCAAATTGAATCTTCTTCTGCTTAATTGCCCAATCCGAAATACAGACGATCGGAACGATGCACTCTGGCTAGCCCAGACATACTTCATGATTCACCAGTTCTCCCGCGCAGAAGGATTGCTGCCGCATTCGTTCCCTGTTATCGTTCTCTCGTAACCAGAAGAAACTAAGGGACTGTTCACCCGAGGGGAGGCGTGTTTGGAATAGGGAATAGTAAGCCGTGCTTGAACCGTGCTGTTTCTTGTACCGTCTGGATATCTCCAATCTGGGAGTACCACCTGGTACGTGGGGCCATCCGCAAATCAGTCGGAGACTCATAATCCTCGACCTTTCATCATTTGGACAGCTTTCATTACCACGGGACTGCGCGTTTGATGTCGGGTCGAAGTTATCCGATACAGATATGTAAACTCGCCAAGTACTTATATCGCCTATACAATGGTCAGTTAATTATGTCTCTAAGTATTGGTCTGGAGGCACTGACGTGCAGTCATGGGGCGCAAATGGATGGTATATTCCTGATTTCTGTGATGCGAACGTGTGCCTTTGGTACTGGTGTCGGAGCTGTGCGTCCTAGGTCCTCGCTCGATGATCACGAATTCTGTAACCACATACGTGTGTTCGTACCCTTTCCTCATGGATGGGTGTTTCGTCGTTCCCTAATCGCGCAGATTATAATCCATACTCTTTGGTGAAGGCGGATCTAGGTGATTCCCGTCTTAACACACGGTGGTATACACATGACAAGGGCTTGGAAAGGGTTTTGTAGTATAAACTGTGTCATCACTAACCAAGTAGTCTACCGCCAACAAAGTGCGACCTTGCGACCGTCCACTTCCTCGTCGAATTGACCTCACATTGTGTGAGGCATGTAGGCACCTTCCGCTGACTTTGCGTTAAGTTGCTGTGTCAATCCGGAGGAGATCAATTTGACAATTCCTCAAATGAACATGTGAAAAGATCACCTCAACACAACCATTCGTGTGGGCTCTGAAATCCCCATTTCTTTTGTACGTTTTTACGCAATATTTGCATTGTATCTTCACACGAAGAAGACGTTCTATAATGTGATGGACGACGTTTCCCCAATGCAATACCTTGGAACATCCAGGCCAGAGGCAAGGAGCACGATCACGATGCTTGTAGATATGATCGCATAGGGGAAGATGAGTGTAGAGCGACTTCGTCGTCGCCTCCAAAGGGAACGTGCTTACCCATTCAGCCACATGCTTGCAGATCAGTTTCAAGTTGTGGGGGGGACTCTATTACAGGCTATGCTTGGATCTCTTGACTATCACCGCTGGCGCAACCCTGTGAAAGTCACTGTCGTGGAGATACGCCTTATTTCGGGCGCGGCGCACGCTAATCTACATCCAACCTACTATGCTGCTTGCTTGGACGATAACAAAAAGGGATCAGGACGTCGTTTCCCGTTCGCAGGACTTTGTCTTGAACACATCCACACGTGCATTGATGAGGAGCCCGTTGGCCCAATGTGCTTCGTGGGTGTTGGCTTGGGTGAGGTGTCTACCTGCAACATGGTTGTTCGGCAGGATCGGAGGTTCGAGAAAGGTATTAAGTTGGGCAAGTTCCACTTCGGAGGATCTACCCACCGCGTCATCTTCCGACCTGGCCTGACCGTGATTCCGATTGAGCAACATGGTAGACCCTGGAAGGGTCGAAGATGCGGGTCGGCAAGGATGTCCTCACCGTAACAGGGTAGAATTGAAAAGACAGCGTCGCCCGCATGTGTCTCGTGTGTACGATAGCAAAGTTAAATCGGTGTCTTAAGCAGTTATGAAAGTGTTCGAATGGTCGTAGTATTTCGTAAGACTTTTGAAGGATGCCGTCCTCCTAGCATTCTGAAATCACATAAGGCAACGAGGGCCACGACGTTTGACGCATCGTGGAAGATACCTACTTATATTGTAACAGCTGGTGCTCAAAACAAGTAACATTGTGCCGACGAAATACCCAGTTGGGTCACCTTCCAACTGTATAATCTCAGACGACAAGATTTTTCTTTAAAGCTCAGCGTCAAGGTAGCGTCTGATAAATGAGTGTGCACCACAGCCATATAGCACTGACGTAATCGGCAGCTAGGACTTGAACGTGGTTCACGTTATACGCAGGTCGTTTTCAGTCCTATTGCCTCAACGCGGGACGCCTTGAGCTGAAGTGTAGGGAATAGAAAAATGGTGTTGAAACCGTTAGTGTCTACCGGAGCACGTATGTATGACGTACGTACTATGACCACGGTCGAAAAGTGTTGGGATGCATCAGAGTGGTTGACAATGAACCACCAGGCAGTCCAGTGACCTCGCATATGCAATCTTGAGGTCCCTCACCAGGAATAGAATTTCCTGGGCCATGGGCTACGAGACCAAAGAACCTTGTAGCGCCACGTGACTGTCGGTAGCAAACGTAAGAATCGACAGTAAGCGAAACCGGCCCTCCGTATGGGCGTGGCGCACTGCCTCCTTCGTCAGTCACTCGAATCACGCGCTTTACTTCAGTTTTCAGCTTCAGGTCTCATCATCCTTTGAACTTCCCGTAGATAACACTGACAGTAATTACTATCACAGTGACGCATCTATGGATGATCTTGCTGAAGCCCGAGCCGAACTGACACTGTTGGAAGAGCAAGAACGGCAACTGTTCGAACGCCTTCGAAACGTTCGCACTGCTGTTCAGGTGCAGAGGAACAGGATCGACCAACTTCTCAAGCACGTTACCAAACCCTCTATTAACCGTCTTCCTATCACAGTTCTTTACCAGATAATCCATTTGGCAGACGATGAATATGGTCTCCTGGATGGTGCCCCACTACGCGCCAAGAGGCGGTTGGCTAGTGTGTCACGTCGTTGGAGAGACGTGATTTTGACGTCTCCAGGTTTCTGGACCACTATTGCGATATGTCCCTCATGGTCTCCCTCTCTCATGAGAGTGTACGTGAAGAGAAGTCGTGAATGTCCACTCAACATCCAAATACGGTGGTGGCTTTCCCGGGACCAATTGCCGAAGTTCTTTGAACTTCTTGGTCTCGTTATCTCTTGTGGATACCGCTGGCGTAGCCTCATAATTCAGAATAACAACAAAGACGTGGAACAAGGCATCATCAAAAGCGTTTGGAACGTGATGTTTCCCTCTTTGAAACATGTCTCCATATATGTGACACAAAAATTGGACTATCCACCATTTTTGCATTCGCGAAATGCTCATGCACTTGAATATTTGGACCTTGGGAATAACATCGGACTTGATAACTTCTCGGTTGCTGCTAGCCTCAAATCCCTTAGGCTGCGGTGTTCTCCATTGACAGCACCTTTGCCATCGATAATGTCACTTCGAATGCTCACAATGACTGGATCAAGCTGTGGAGCCCTACCTCTTGACAGTATCCACTTGCCACTTCTCGAGTCTCTGACGGTCATGCTCGAGGATCCCCAGTCATTTTTGGCGGCCATTGTGGCCCCAAACCTCGGTTATTTCGCCTACTCGCCTCTGCAGCTCACCACCAGATGGTCGGGAATATTCACGGACCTTTCGGATAAGTTCCCAAACGTTCAGCATCTCTGCCTTCGGCATCCTAGGAGCTCTCTTAACGGTGCGGACATTGGCGACGCTGCAGCTGTCTGTGCGACGTTTCCTGGTGTACATCATATAGAAGTGAACGTGCCTGCATTCCAGGCCTTTTGCTTAGCGGAACAGGAAGGTGGCACTCTGTCCATTGCAGACCGCTGGACGCACCTCGAGCACTTGTCCCTCGAAATGGTCGACCACAACCATCCCGGAATTAGGTTCGTGGAATGGCTTCGCGCTCGAAGACTCGAGGGCCGACCCGCTTTGCAAGTGACATTGTCGAAGTTCGATGCTGCGCGTCTACCAAATGGCCGATGGTTGATCTCATTGTACAACTCGCTACATGAGTATTGCCTACTAGAATTGAAGAACGTTCCACTGATGTTTAATTTGACTGTGCGCACATCTGATCCAGTACGTGTTCCATCCGTGCATGCGAAGCGCAAACCCATTTCCTTGTCTCTTGTAGACTTCTCTTCATGACGTCTATGGAATCCTCCGACCATGGGTATCCTTGGATGGCCAGTAGGCACTGAACTTGCATGCGCAAGGACCAGGCCAAGGGTAGCCTGTACACTCACATTTACCTGCTGTCCCCCATTTTCACATATTAAGCAAGTCGTGTATTCAGGCTCTATGTTATACTTTGTTTTCGCTGCGGCAGCGCACGGAACATATGAGCTTGGGAGTCAAAGCGACAGCCTATGTCACAGGAAGCTAGTGACAAGCAGGCAGAACCTCGTAAACTTGTGAGGATGTCCTTTTTTGTAAATAGTAAATCATCGCCTGTACCTATACTGCGTCACGCTCGACTTTCGAGCCCCAGGGACATACTCACCCTAAAAATCTGCAGCGGAGAAACATTCAATTACATCAATCGACCGTACCTCCAATTACGACGCACTGAAGTCCCCTTCCTATTCCGCTTCCCTCGCATTCACAGATCCATACCTTCACTCTTCGACTCTCAATATCCCAGCGACCTTCTGAACAGCCTCAATGCCCCCTGATATAAAATGCTTTTGCAAAAATACGATATAGAGGCTTCACCTGCCACACGAAATCCGGATTCTAAGAGGCGTGAATTTCCAGGAGTATGTCCTCTGTGGATCGTGCGGTCAAACAGCGAGATTTGCGTTTGCAAGAGTTTTGATACTTGAATTGCCGATGTCGCAGTGACCTTGTGTGACAGATACCTCGAAGAGTCGACAAAAGATATTTAGATGTAAGTACCGCGGGTAATCACCAGGACGAAATCCATGACCTCTGAAGCTTCGCCGTACTGACACGAAATGAAAAGGAAACCTTTGGTGTATGGGACGTGAGTGGGAATTACACGGTCGTTCACGGACGTCGGGAGGCTTTGGAAATGAGCGAACCTGTTCGATGTCGTGAATGTGTGGTGCGATAGTGCCTAGTAATAGTTCCCGCGAAGGCTAAGACTTTCAGCCTTGAGAAACCGAACTCATACTCAAGTATCCCACCACGAGTGAGAAAGTTGACACGAAAACAGGTACGAACAATTCAGCCTTGTTCAGCATATCGAGGAAAAAAAACACGAGTGCGAGCCCGGATTCGGTTGCCACCAGCTCCGTCACGACACTGGACTCAGCAAAAGGTGCAGGAGAGCGGCGAGTTACTGAGCATTCATGAAGGTGTTCGAAATGGCCGTAGTGATTCATAAGACTTTCGAAGGTTGCCGAGTGGCTCCCAATGAGCGAAGCTCATCATGCCCGATACCGACTAATACCGTAACTTGGGATCGCTGTGTTGAACGAACGTAGGTGCATAGGCGGTCCTAGGTTTGTCCTAAAGCTAGGCCTTCAGACTCGATCCCATAGCTTGTAGCGTTCACAGGTCACTCTCCTACTGTGCGATCTTATCCGGCTAACCCCTTCGATAAAACTTCGCATCAGGAAATATATCTGATAAAAAGACTGTCACGGAAAGGTACATACAACGCTAGTACACTCACGAAAGCGTCCACGCACAAAGTGAAAACGCGGTTCTCGTGTGTGCGGGTGGTAGTCAGTCAGTGCCATTGTCTCAACGCCGGACGCCTTGCACTGAGGCGTAGACAACTTGTGAAGGTCGGCTCAGGGGTGGGTGTCAGTCGGTGCCATTAACGCCTAACGCCTTACGCTGAGGCCTAGGCAACTCGTATAGGGGTAGTAGCCAGTCAGCTCTATTAATACCTCGACGTCGAATAGGCACCCGTAAAGGTCGCTGTAGGGGCGATAGTGAGTCAGCTCCACTGATGCCTTAACACCAGATGCCTTGTGCTGAGGCGTAGGCAGCTCGTAAAGGTGGGTGCTACGTGTCTGACAAAAGAGTGAAGCAGAAAGGTGCACCGTGGTTATGCAGTGCTAACACACTCGACAGCGGTTCACGCCCCCCATGTGGTGTAAATGTATTTTGAAAACACTGCCCGTGACGCACACAAGTTGGGGGGATTCCGAGGTGGCTCATGCTTGTTGTCAGCCCCATTGCCTCGACGCCCGACGGCTTGTGCTGAATCGTAGGGAATAGCAAAAATAGCGCTGGTCCTAAAGTCAGGAACCTGCTAAGCACGGTTTATATGTACGTACTGCGAACATGGTCAAAGTATTTGGATCCATCGTAGGGACTCATTCGCATATGTTCAGGCATATTTGGACGGATTGGGCATGAAGACGTCGACAGGTCCAAGGGAAACCCAAGCGGCGCAGAGCAGATAAGCTTTGCGGTCTATAGCGAGCTGCTTGAGAAGCACTGGAACTGCGAGGAGCTGTTGGTTCTGGCCAACTTCGATAGGTGGGGTGTGAAACTTCTAGGGTACCAAACAGATGCACACACTAGTAGGTACTTATTAGTAGGATGACGTCCCGTCGTACCTCCACAAAGGCTGTCAAACCCCCTGCTATGCCAACATCGCTTACTCTTTCTTCAAATCGGAGCGCCAGACTTCCAAAATTGGTACGATGGTGAGCTACCGACGAGTCCCCGGAGATTGTTATTTCTTAAGACTCAAGTATTCTAGGACTTTCGCAGTGATGCACTGCACGCTATCTTTCATTAATATTAGTCTCGCACGAGTTCGAGTTGTCATCCAAATCGTGCCAATAGTAATGCTCCGGTATCTCATGTCGTTCTTCAAATCAGAGAGGCAACCGTCCGAGGTGGGGATTCGCATCAAGGTAATGTCTCTGAAATATATTTCGTTGTCTTACTTGCGCTACAATTACTCTAGCATGTGCACAGAGGGACGCAGCTCGCTATCGCTGCAAGACTCCCTCCAGAGATCATTGTGATGATCCTTCGCAAGATACCTCTACCCTGCTTGTTACCATTAGACTTGTTCTCTTCTACCGTTCTCGCCTCTTCTCCCTGCCAGTCACACATCTTGGATGTTGGTCTTGTTTCGGCCCCTCTCGTTTGCGTGTCTTGGCGCGGCCCAGCTACAGAAGTTCTGTACGAACGGATCATTCTACAGACAACGAAGCAGTGTGAAATTCTACATCGCACCCTTCGGTCCAATCCCTTATTTGGAACATGGGTCAAGGTCCTGCACCTGCCGCACAGCCGAAGAAAAGCGCCAACAGACCTTTCTATATCGCGGCCAACGCCGTCAACTGCCACTGATGATCGGTTACTACAGCTGTCCGCCGACATCTTTAAAGCTTGCGACTTGGTCCAGGAAATCGATATCGTAGCTGAGGCGAGCATCTCCTGCTATTCGCAGGCGGACGTGATTTTAACCCAAGTTATGTCTCTGCGTTGTAGATTGATCTTTTCGCGGATCTGTCGGAGCGCACATATCTACGATCCATTCGTGTCACCGACGTAAACTCCATGCTTTGCAGCCCCAGACCAGCCCGATTTTTTGCTCTGCGAGAACTCACTCTCGATGGGTTTCACTTTGGTAGTTCACAGACAAATTCGAGTGCCGACTCCATCTGGCCTGAGTTTTCGCAGCTCACGAAGCTTCGATTAGAACGCTGTATCCTCTTGGACGAGGATCTAACCCAGATATTACCACGGTCAAATGCAAGGTTGAAATGTCTTGAATTATTTGACACTCGTCACCCCTTCCGAGCGAATAACTTCGAGCTTCCAAATTTTCTAGCTGAATGTCTCGAAGAGCTCTGGATCGAGGATTGCTGGCCGTTTTCGTTTGAATCTTCCTTGCCATTGTATCAATCGTTACGAAGTGTTCATACCGATTGGGATGTTTTTACCAAGGCAGCACCTTTCCTTCCTATTGGTGTCCGGACCATATCCATTTCCGTGCCCATCTCCGCAGCAAGCAGCGCCCCAGACTATGGAAATTTGGAGGCGTCTTTGCAGTCGATATCAAAGGGACTTCCTTCACTCGAGACGGTCACGGTTTTGGGAGACAGCGAGTACCCGTTGCTACAGGACGCGTTGGGCCTGGAGAGGAGTTTAAACCTTGAAGGTGTCAGCCTGAGGGTAGAGTCTGTTCGGCGTGGTCGAGGCGAGCGGGCTTAGCATCGTCAGTCGCCATCGTGGCTTTCGTTACTCGAGTCAACGGAGTATCACACTGGTCAGATTTTGGATGCAACGTCTGGATGTCGTGGCACGGAGCCGGATTGTGACAAGTAGTTTACTTGTTTGAGCTGGAATCAGAGTTTGTCGATCGTTCAGATTATTTACCCTCCATTTGCGACATCTAGACCTTGGCTGGATGCATTATGTCGTCTCACATGGCGCCCCAATGTTCGTGTGACAAGGAATCAGTGGATACATATATCAAACAACTAGGTATAGAAGTGCACACAAACATGGAAAGGGCGCCGGCGCCAGCTAACTCCTGGAAGGAACCAAATTGAGAGATATACGAGATCGAGAAAGAAACAAGATCGAAAGAAACTAAAGACCCGCCTAGCGTGCCGTCATTCCGGCCAAACCCATCATTCTGCTTTGCCTTCGACCTTCCTGGCAACGTTGTCCACGAGCCAGCGATACATGTCTTTGGCGTCGTAGTTCGAGTCGCCCGCCAGGATGCCCATGATTCCCCAGCCAATCTAGTAGGGAACTCGTCGATGAGATATGTAGAAGAGAATAACTGGGAGACATACAATGCCGAAGTGGCTGGTTTCGTCGCTTACAACACCGAGGAACTCACCCTACTCCAAGTGTTGAGCGAAATGAGGAGATGCTGAGACCCGTCACCACGTACCCATTTTGCGGAGTTGACAGCGACCATTCCGTCATTCTCTCCAAAAGCCTTGGGATATTTGGAGCTGGAGCCTTTCTTGATGAATTTATTGGAGATGCTGTCGTCCATCCCATGAGCCGCCAATTTGGCAGAAACAAAAGGCAGACGTACTAAAAGATGTGATTGACGAATGGCTGAAACTTCGACGTAACGCTGTAATACTTGATTCCCGGGACATTTTTGTAGCGAGCATTGAAGTTTTCCATGTGCTCCGGCGTCATATCATTCATGGCCTTTCCAGACCCCGACAGACAGCTAAGCAGGAGTTGGCACGACAATCTACTGACGAAGCCTGAAAAACCATGGACTCAGTGGAGACATCGATGGGGACGCGTATTGCCGCTCACCCAAGCTTTCGGACAACGAAGCGATGGGTGATCCGTAGTGGGGCGTCGATACCGTGGTGATGGACAGTACATTATATCTGAGTCCTGAAAAGTGGACCAGACGTCTGGCGTCGAGGCCACCCATACTATGGCCTGATTCGACAAAACATCAGGACCTGTACGAGAAAAAAAGGAAAAGGAGATGACTGACAAATGAGATGGAGGCCGGGCTTGGCCGAACTAGAACGGAGGTTAAGCAAGTCCTCGATCTGCAAGTCGAGCTGCTTGGCCCTCTCGTCGATACTGCCTGTCATGCTAACTTTCGGCACAATCACTTTGCAGCCTCGGCTGGTCAAATCATCCTTTACGCCATTGAAGTAGCTGAGACCCATCATGCTGTCGGTGCCGACGAATCCGTGACAAAGAACAATGTAGTTGTCGGTAGAGATATCTGTGGTAAGCGATATGTCGGTATGGCATCAAACATTTGGAGCAGCAACAAGGCGTACACGGCATTGTTACTTGAGTTGTGAGGATCGAAGGGGAAACTGTGTAGAGCAGGAGAAGTTTTCGTGGATGCTCTGCAACGGAAGGGAACGCTGCCTTTTAAAGTCGCAATGAGAGTAAAATCGCCCAAACGAGCCAAGTGTGTCTGCCAAGTGTTTGGGGTCTCAAACTACATAACTGCGAGCTGCACGGTGGTGAGTTGGAAACGACATCCTCATGCTAACATCGTGTAGTGGAATAACAAATAACTGCCGGTGGTAATAGGCAATCGTGAACCAGAGAAGGGGCAACTTAACTTCAGCTTTGAAAAGGGTACGGTTGCGAACTGCACGGCCGTGAATTGAGAGAAATGGAAATTTTTCGTGCCGACATCGTGTAATGGAGTTATCCCGAGATGGTAGTGGGCCATCATGAATCAGAGAAGGGACAACTTGACTTCAATTTCATCCAGGCTGCAACTGTGGATAGGGAAGGGGGAAACTAACCTTAACTCAGTAAAGGCTGCCACTGTGCGTGAACTGCACGACCGCGAACTGGAGAACAGCAAAACGTCCTCGTGCTAAGAGCGCCTATGATAAGCACTTCCGTGCAATGAGATTTTCTGCAGGAACATGAAGGCAGAACTTAACTTTAGCCTGGTGAAGGCTGCCACTGTGCGTGAACTGCACGAGTGTGGATTGGGTGCGATAAGTACGTTCCATTCGCATGGGACAACAGAGGCTCACTCGAATACGGCTCGCCGGCGCCAAGGGGATCTCCGGTTAGCGCGAAGAATTTACAAAAGACGCAGACTTGAATGTGAAGAACGTTACATTCGCAAGGGACTCGACAGAACCTTACCCGAATACGGCTCTCCGGCGCCAAATTCTCTTCGATAGACCGCAATGAAAGCAAGAGTTTCCATTTATGATTTATGCTACGGAAAGTCCCCCAGTAGTCCGAAGTATGAAAATGCCAAGGCGATCCGTCTCGCTCACCACCTATTACTTTATTTAGGCATACCTATGATTGCACAAGCGTGCTTTCCATGAATGAGAATGGTCACGTGCGGAGAAAAGACGGCCCCGCCACCGCCACCACGACGGTTCATGTCACGGCAGGTCACGGGGCGCTCATATTATGTAATTCTGTGCGCAATATCAAACTAAGTACTAAGTACTAAGTACGTTACTTACTAAGTAAGTTTCCTTCTCACAATGCTTTATGTTCAGAATTCGGGGAGTACAATGGAACTGGATCATCTCTATGTACCCCAGAGCGAAGTATACCCGACTTCGAAAACCAAAATTGGGGGAGTGTGCATTGCGTAGCAATTGTGTTGTCTGATATTTGACAAGTGCATGTTGTTTTCTATTTGCAAATTCTTCGCGCTAATCGAAGAGAATTTGGCGCCGGAGAGCCGTATTCGGGTAAGGTTCTGTCGAGTCCCTTGCGAATGTAACGTTCTTCACATTCAAGTCTGCGTCTTTTGTAAATTCTTCGCGCTAACCGGAGATCCCCTTGGCGCCGGCGAGCCGTATTCGAGTGAGCCTCTGTTGTCCCATGCGAATGGAACGTACTTATCGCACCCAATCCACACTCGTGCAGTTCACGCACAGTGGCAGCCTTCACCAGGCTAAAGTTAAGTTCTGCCTTCATGTTCCTGCAGAAAATCTCATTGCACGGAAGTGCTTATCATAGGCGCTCTTAGCACGAGGACGTTTTGCTGTTCTCCAGTTCGCGGTCGTGCAGTTCACGCACAGTGGCAGCCTTTACTGAGTTAAGGTTAGTTTCCCCCTTCCCTATCCACAGTTGCAGCCTGGATGAAATGAAGTCAAGTTGTCCTTCTCT